AGAGAGAGAGAGAAAAAAAAAAAAAACACACACGCGAGCGACGCGGAGACTTGCACATCCACAAGCAGTGCTCCTTGCAGGTTGGGCCGTCCCAGGCAGGGCACTCCTTCGCAGTCTTGTCCTTCCGGCCGGGTGTGAAAGGCACCTCGAGCTGTGCGATGGTTAAGTTCAACTCGGACATGACAGGCCCGGCGCCCGACCAATGCCCTACCTTGCCTTCTCGCCACCCATCTCTTCGATGGCAACGCAGGCGGCATAAATCCAGAGGTCCGCATACGAGACCGACGGGAACTTCTTCTTCACCTTGGCTTCTCTCAAGATCGTATAACATCCCGGATTGTTTGCCGGATTGTTTGTCACCGTGCATTATCCACCGACCGTTTTATGACAACTTTTCGCTTCCAACGACTAACCCGTAGAGGCCCGAGAAACTGCTGGTCAAACTGGACAGTAAACAGGATTCAGTACTTCTGAAGTGGTGACCCGGGCCGAGCGCTCGAGGAGTGGGTCATATCAAGAAATGATACAACATGTGACGCGTGATATGGGGAAGATCGCAGGGAAGGAAACACTAGCCCGGTGAAGTGAAGCAGGCGAGCTAGGAAGAGTGGACACAACGATACGCAACACTTCCCAACAGTCAGTCCGCGATGATATCTTCAGCCTTCAAGACTGGGTTTAAGTTGCAGCCACAGCTCAGGCTCCAGAAGATCTTGCGCCACCTTCAACCCCGCATTGGCCCCCCAGCCGAGTTCCGGCTCAAAGCGCATGGTGGCCCCGCTCGACCTCTGAAAGGTCAGGAGAAAAACACTACATGCTGCCTGGGTTTGACCGGCCTCCCTCAACATGGGAGCACCAAGGTCGCTGATTCGAGTGGGCAGCAGGGCTCGGTCCTTCAACTTTCCTGCAAGGTTTTTGTTTTGCAGATTCCACCCCCTCCTGGAAAGGACTGAAACTGATGTTGGCCACTTGTCCTTCGCAGCTACTTCCAATTTGTTGAAATTGTTGAGCTTCTACCATAGCCCAGCGCACAAACCCTGCACAAGTCTCTGTGGGCAACGCCGGCTGTTGTTGCACACGGCCTCCCTTGTAGTGACATCCACAGCACATGGAAGAGCACGCAGCTTAGCAGCACCGAATACAGCAAGGGGCAAAAGGAAACCGATAAATGTCTGCGAAGCTCGGAAGCCGCAGGAATCTGCAGAAAAGTGACTTGTGTCTGCTTCAACTAGGTGCCGGGCCCGCCAGTTTTCGTAGACTTGCAGTAGGTGCCGGCGGAGTGCCAGGCCAGTCGAATCAGCAATGGTCCTGGTGTCGCCCCCTCGTAGGACGAGTCCTGAGAATCTTTTCGCGTGCAACATGCCCTTCATGAACGCAGAAGCAAGCAAGCCAGAGCGGACGAGGGTAGAACGGAGATGCTCAGGGCGATGTTTCGTTGGGAACTTGACAAATGTAAATTTTGGATCGCGTGAGACGGATATCTGTGCATTGCACACACACACACACACTGGAGTCAAGTTTTCTGGCGAAGAAACCGTCAAATCAAAAGCAAGCTTTGGAATGCAGGTGGTGCAAAGTGTGTAGGACTGCCAGACGCCGTTGGATAAGTTGAATAACGAAACTCCGCCGCGAGACTTGCGAGTATCGCAGTCCGACTATTTGAGAGACTTGACAGGCGCTCCTGTTTTTACGGGCACTTTCAGCCGACTCCATTACCAAGGCCAGTCCAGTCCAACTACAAGAGAAACGAAGAATCGCCCAGTGCTTCGCCATTTGGCTCACTTGGGCGACCTGAAGTCAACGCCGGCCTTGGCAGCTCAGCTCTTCTTGGGGTGTCTCTTATCGCTGGCAGGCTGTGTCCATGTAAGGGTCCAGCATATGTTGCCAGCCCACCGAGCTCCTCTTCGATGCGCAAGAGTTGATTGTACCTCTGCCGTCTGAGACCTACCCGTCTTTATGTCACGGATGTAAACAGTCTCCGGCGGGCGCTCATGACTCATGACAATCTCAAGTCTCTCCTACGACAGCGTTGAACGGAATAAGTATGTAGGCAGAGACTGGGTTCGGTGCTTGGACAGGCGCTCAGATCGGCATGGTGCGCCAGTCTTGATCTGTCCAGTTCGGAGACCTGGTCCGAGATACCGGTGCATCACGTGCATCTGGGGCAGCTGGCAACACGACCTACGACGAGGTCTGCGATGAAGGAGTCCTGCTCTGCAGCGGTCAACAAACAACTATACGAACAGGTTTTTGGAAAGCCACCGGTCCTCAGTCTCGCCAGACCGATGCGACACCATGACGCCCCAACCAGCATTCTGAGACATCGTAGCAGCCTGGGCGAAAGGGCTGTTTAAAGAGGCCACGGATGAAGCAGGGCCATTCCGAGCAGGCCTCGATAGCTTCGGTGATGGATCCAATCTGGTTGACCTGGCCGCAAAGCCAACAGCAATGCCATTCGCCCCTGCAAAGTCTCGATGGCAACCTTCAGGAGGAGGGCGTTGCAAGCCCCGACTTCCAGGGCCTGTGCAAGCTCGCTCTGATACTTTGCACTTTCCCCTCGACCTCATCAGCGAAGCGAAGAGCATGGCACCTTCTTGACGCGAGTTGGGTTCGTCACGAGGAGGTCGTCCCCAACGATCTGTACCCTCGGCCCGACCTGCAGAGTCGAGGTCTGCGACGGTAGTGACTGCGTGCATGCGCATGTGTCTGTCCGAACGTCTGCAGGGTCAAGATGCAAGTGTGTGCAGGCACACTTGCGCATGCACTTTGGTCTTCTAGACTCGTAAACAAACATAGCGCCAAGGCATGTCGGCTCAAAGCAAACCGAGCGAGGCCTCCGACATGAAGTGCTTGTAGGCGTCCCAGTCATCTTGGTCGAACGGATCCTGATGGGTTGCCGAGCTGTTGGCAAACGCTGGAGCGAATGCTTGGCTACGTCTTCGCCATCTGTACATGTCGCACTGTGCGAATGTCCTCGATGGAGACGAAAGGGTACTTGTCGAGCCATGCCTTGTAGTAATCAGCCAGCTGTGGCGCAGTCTTCTTCATTTCCTCGCAGGAAAGTGTGCTGGTGAGGGTGTGCCTGGTCTCTCTGCACACGAAGAAATGCGACGCACCAAGTGCTGCAATCGCTATGTCGTCGGCGAGACTTATGAGACCAAGCATCCGCTGGGCTGCTGGGGTTTTTGAAGTCCAAGTCATAGGTCTTGCCCTCGGCGCTGTAGAATTCAGACGCTGCCACGTCGGTGCCAATCTTGACCTTCGCGCTGTGGCCAGACTTCTCGATAGCCTCCATCAACACATCCAGGGCCTGCCGCGAGAACAGCAATGACTTCTTCGAGCACGACACCTGAAAGCCCTAGACCCCTGCCTCGTTGTTGTCTTGCACATTCGGTGCAAAGCCACCTTCATCACCAACGTTGCAAGCCTCTCAAGCAGGAAGGAAATCCGAGTCCGGGCTGAGTGCGAGCTGATTTCATGGCCGCGAAAGGTAGTTGCTGCCGGGCAGCATCCTGCCCATACTTTTTCTTGATAACGCTCTTCAAATTGTGATACACTTCAGCACCAATCACCATCGCCTCTTTGAAAGTGGAAGCACCCACAGGAAGGATCATGAATTCTTGACACGCCAGTCGATTTCCAGCATGGCTGCCGCCGTTGATGACGTTGAAGGACGGCACTGGCATTACGAACTTGTCGGTGCTCTTGCCTGATATCTTGGCCTTCGCAGATGCGAGCTGTGGAACGTCAGGAATGTCTGTAACTTGTGTTAAAGTCAAGGCCACGGCAATGTACTGATAGAGAGGCATGCCGCTAGCAGCTGCACCAGCACGGCACACAGCCATGGACACAGCTAGAATTGCCTTGGCAAGGACAGGGGCGTAGCGGCTGTTTGGGCATTTCATTTATCCAAACAAATTCTGGGTCGCATTTGCGCCAACTTTGGACTTGCTCCTCGGCGCAGGCCGCGGCTTTGACGTTGGGAAGTTTGGTCGGGATTCTAGGAGCACTGCCATCCCCACTCGTTCTTCGATCCATCGATCCTTAGTGGGCTCTCAGCGGAATCAATTGGCGGCGGAGTGCCGCTTGATCGGTTCTGTCCAGGTGCTCTTCGACCATCATCTTGTCGATCTTGGTTTGGTCGGTGACGTCCATGCCCAAAAGCTTGGGAGCGAGAATATCGTTGACATTTGCAACGGCCTTCAGTACACCTGCAGGTGGCCGAGGGCCATTGTAGAATTGGGCAAGACGAACTCTGAGGCAAGCTGACCCATGAGCTGGAGTGATGAAGGGAAAGCTCTTCCAGCACCTAACTTGAGCATCCAAGGCACCCTTTCCCAATAAACGACCTTTGTCACCGTCTCGAAGCTCCAAGGCTTCGTAAATTCCAGTAGAAGCTCCACTGGGGACGGCTGCACGGAACAAGGCCTGGGCTTGCTCTCCGGGTGGTTGAATCAGAAGTAGTTTACAAGCTGCAAAGCCATGCAAAGCCAGCACTTTCACCAACCGGGTGACAGTTCCAGTGCAGAGGTCCACTTCAACGGTGGGGTTTCCCCGTGAATCGAAGATTTCCCGGGCTTTGACAGCCATGATCGTCTTCGAGTCGGGAGCAGCAGCACCTGCAAAGGTGGGGTGCGGGTTGTCTGTGCTGCCTTGGCCTGCAAGATCACGGACGCGCACCTGCTGGAGCCGCCACTTTCGTCTGATTCTTTACAGCTTCTGCCGCCGCTTTGATCTCATCAAGGTTACCTTCAGATACACCATAGACGCAAAGCACCTGACTCGTTTCCAAGGCCTGCGAATCAACAAGTTTGATCCGTGTGGCCCAAGTATTTTCCGAACTTGAGGGGTGCGATCGCATCGGCGCTTGCAATTGGCTTCAAGTCCTCGCATCGTGAGGAGCACTAGGGCAAGTCTGGCATGACTACAAGGAGCCCGGCCGAATCCAAGTTGTACATGAGCGGGCGACCAGTGGGGATTTCAAGGCCTCAGGCATGAAGCAATCGAATTCCTGAACATGTCCATGCACAAGTCTTCGCTGTAACTTCTTCAATGCGAGATGTTTTGCCCATGCGGATGCTTTCCTTGCCTTGCAGTACAGATTTTGGGATGTCCCTCACGATCCTAGCCAAGAGGCATGTTATCATGCATGCTCCTATCCCTTCGTGTTGAGCTAGGGCTACCCGCATGCAGAATCTAGAGCTCATGCTGAGTCGGCACAGTCTTGTGCAGTGTTTGTCCTTGTGTTGCCCGTATTGATTGTAAAACCCACCGGCCTGTGATGTCGTCATCGGAGATACCCTCCAAGAACTTGAGGATTGCCCGGATAGAATTTCCGTGGGCGGCGACGAAAATGGTTTTGCCCTTCTTCAGCTCTGGCGCAATCGCCGATTCCCAGAACGGCATCACCCGAGCCTCAGCGTGGCTTACAAATTTACAAGAGAACTTGGAAATCGGAACGAGGTTCAGGTGCTGTGGCTGTGGACAGCAAATGATGTGCACGCTGAAAGTGCCTGTCTGTGACCGAGACCGAGTGGCAATCGTGTCCTTGAGGCACTCTGTTTTGGGGATGTCTGCCTTGTTCAGAGCGGCATACCTCAGATCCGGTAACCGGCCAACGTCCCTGCACAACAAAAACACAACACACACACGGCCCTCCCGTTTGCATCCGAGTCAAGCCGCTTCTTTTCCTGACAAGGAAGCAGGGAGAATGAATGACTCAAGAGGTGGCGCCGACTTTAAGCTCACAGAAGGTTCCCGACTGGTCAATCAGTCTTTCAACGCTAGCAAAAAAGAGAAGAACTCTTTCATCTTGAGCTTATTCAGTTTAGCGAATGTAATCGTGAGCATCCGGATGCATGCCTTTGCGGGGTTGAACTCGCTGTCGTCGTCAATTGGTGGCGGCGGCACGTCGAAGCTGCGCCGCCAGACTTGGACCTGATCGGCGCCGTGCTTCTTCACCGTCTCCTCAGGGATTTGCCAGGGTATCGGTGCTGAAAGTGCTGAACTTCTGTGGGGTGTCCTTCTTGTCCAAGCCTGTGAGGCCGCCATACATGCGCTCGTTGAGTCGCCAGCTCTTTTCCACGGGAACAAACAACTGATCAGCATTTTCCAGCGCCAGATCACATGTCTTGATGGCACCTGACTACGACGCACGGGACCACGGCGGGGTTTCAAGACTTCTGTTGCCGTGGACTTCCTACCTTTCACCCAGCCACGTTTCAAGTACGAAGTGAAGGCCATGTCCACCTTAATGCCCTCCGACTTCAGCAAGCTGCCGGCGCTTTTGGCTTCGCCAAGGCCCTTTGCGGACAGGTCGACCTGCTACAATGGCAAATGCCTTACGGAAGAGTGGAGCGGAGTGTATCCTGAAAAATCAGCCACGTTGCATCGACCCATCCGGTGAACCTGTTGTCCACGTTCCATTGGGACTCTCCATGCCGAGAGAAAATCAGAGTAGCGTGTGGCTTTGCCATGGCACGAGGGACAGCGGAGAGAGGCAGCGGAGGCGCAAAAAGCTGCAGATGTTGTCTGTTTCGCCTGGGCCCAAGCCAAATGGCAATGGACTTCAGTACATCTCCGACAGCCTTGACCTCATCGACATTCTACAATGGGTTAAAGCCACCGAGGACAAAGTTCTTTCTCGCAGCTGCAAGTCGCCAGTGTGCTTAAAATCAGCGGTCTTCTGAATCTTCACATCGACCTCACTTGCTCATTTCTGTATATGTGTCAACCTGGTGGCTGCCCGTGTTACGAGTACTTGGGACAAGCGGCAAATGGCTCCTTGTATGACGCAGACACTGCGGCACCGTCGTCAGCCAATAACTGCGAGATGTTCCTTGAAAGTATTTTGTCAGATGTGTGGTCTCATGAGCTCAGGCATTTCTTGTGAATGCGATGCTTTTGCGTGGACCGGCTGATTTCTTCTTTGCTCGTATCAACAAGACTTGAATCCAAGCATCCATCGATGAAGATGGTTCCAGATTACGAAACTTCGGCCTCCTTATCTCAAGAGCTCTAAACAGCAAGCACTGAGGACAGTGAAGACCGATGCCACTCTGGAACATGTCCAACATAATTAGGTTGAGATCCTTCAGGACTGGATATTGTGTCGAAGCCCCACTGATGCTGGCCATCTGAGAGGGATGTCCAACTCTCGGGGTGAACATTCCTGCACGAACACATGACGTGACCGGTGTAATCATTGCAGCAACCTACTCAGAACATGCATGAGAATGATCGGAGTCCTTAAGTGACGCAGCAGCAGCATCCCATTCTTGTGCAGCACCCACAAGAGCATCTTCAATCCGCGCAATGGGTGGACTGTGTGGTCCAGCGCATTGCTGACATAGACTATGTGAAAGTATTCCTTCGGATAAACGTGCCAGAGCTCCTCCACGTCACAGTACCTGCTGCGGGATCTGACGTTCTAAAGCAATCGAGCAGGTGGTAGCCCGTTCATCACACAGAAAATCAACCTGGTATAGGCGATAGATGATGAACGCCGAGGGTCTCTGGAAAGCCTTCTGGCGGTGTGAAGCCAGTCTCGACGGCCAGCTGCCGGTAGAGCCGGGAAAAGGCATCGCATGAGATCGTCTCGCCCACTGCGCCATAGGAGCACGTGAAGCTGCGCGTCGCAGCCACGGGGCCAGACCCAAGAACAAGCACCCGAATCACTGCGAGCCTGTAGTTAAAACACTCTGAGACGGCAGACAGTTGCCGACAAACAAGACAGGGCAGGCCTAACTACAGGCTGATGCAGTACATGTTTAGATACATACCAAATTGTGGCTGAAGCTCTCCAGCTCCCGAGCGAGCTCGCAGAAGTCAAGCTTGTCTGCAAAACGAAATTGTGCGAGCTTCCCTGGTGAGGCTTTCATCTTGTGCTCCCAATACTTTCGATTGTCCCATGCACCAAGTGCCCAATGAAGGCGCATGTGCACTTCCATGTGATTGTGAACTCCACTCTGGGACCACGGTATCACATCATGTAGGGTCGAACCAGCCACATTGCGCACGAAAGGCAAACCCCGCCTTGGTCGTAACCACTCGAAGTTGCAGCTCTGCTCTATGAAGAGCTGAAAATTGGAAGAGAACTCTGACAAAGTGATAGGCCATGGACTGTGGTCGATGCAATGGGTCACCATTCCGAGCGCTCTGAAGGCGACCATAAAGAAAGAGAGCGCTGGGTCTTGGTGGTGAGGGGCCATCGACGATGTGACCGACCCGCATTCAGACTTCGCCGTTTCGGCTAGCGCGCACATAGACAGCAACACCACAATACCCGGAAAGCATGAAAGGTGAGCCAGGCGTCGATTAAGCCCTTCCGTGTGCAGCATTTCCGCGGTCAAGCCCGTGCGCTGGAGACCGTCATGGCAATACTTCCCGACGGCAGGCCGATCCAAAGTGTCCAACTCCAGCGCTTGGCTGAAGAGCCAGCTGCATGTCGGCCCCGAATGCCCGCATGTGATCCCTTCCGCTTGCACATCAGGCCGAAGGCTGCGAAGGTACTCCGTGCCTCGCGCTCCCCATGATGAAAGGAGATCCCTGAAGGCAAACGACACCGAGTCGCAGGCAGCAGCCTTCGAAGGTGAAATCCTGCTCCCGGTCAGCAGTTTTTTTATCATGAATTGTCAAAAGGCCTCTGTCCAGCCTGGTTTGGGGGGAAGCAAATCGATCGTCCTGCATGTCTCGAACACAGGTCGCTAAACCAGCCACCCTGTGTGGCCCGATCTAGGCCCTGTCTGACTTTTGCGTCCTGCTTCGGAACAGCACAGTTCCGGCTGCACCTTCCCTACCCAACAAGAATCCACCATACCCTCATTGCAGCATGCATTCTGGACTGGTGCAAGTTGGTGAAACACAAGGCGCACGCTCAGTGCTTTTCAGTTAATTGATAAGACGGGTCATTCGTCATATATGTGCTGCTGAAACGGCTCGGGGAACAACTCATGAGGCGCCAAGCATTTCGTCGTGGTCAGGTAAACCCAACGTCTTCTGCACTGGCACACATCAACCATTTCAATGCTGCAGCCGCGAGTCGAGAGATCTGGCTCCGGAAGCTGTACAGATGTCCAAGTCTAAACATAGAAAATTAATAAAGCCATATGCAGCCAGAGAGCCGGCGTCTTGCCGGCATTGGTGCTAGAATTGACTAAACCACGATGACGGGACAGAAATCCAATGCTCATCGCTTGGTCGCCTCAAGCTGCTTGATGGCAGGCAGTCGTGCTGAAGAGCACTCCAGGACTGCCACAGCTCGGTAACAAAGCGCCGTCCTGGACAGTTTCTTGATCTTTGACCACGCCCGCAAGAAGCCTCCACAAGCTTGTTCGTGCAAGAATGCGGGGAGATGCAACGATGTAAATGCTGAATGTTGCCCCCTCTCCATAAGCCTCGAGACTTCGCATGTTCGCCCGTTTATCGTCACCTGGCCCAGACAACTCAGTCGCTTTAACTTGCACGGCGAATGCCCGAACCGATCGAGCCTCCTCGAAGGTGTCTTGGCGCGCTTGCGTGAGCGGCCCCTGCATGACTCAATTGCGGTCAAACCAGCGAAAATGGGACAGACTCGACCCCGTTGTCTGAGTGCAATTTGGCTCTGCCAAGTCCTGGGGAGTCAGTGGTAGTGGCAGCTGCAGGTGAAGCCTGACGTCCGTGCTCTTCCGGTATCGCACTGCGAAGGAAAGGTCCCCTGCGTGCAGCCTACTCGGCATCTTCTGGGTACCCCGACGCCATGTCTAGATACGCAGCTCCACGGCAGGGGACTGACTTGATAAAGCCTTGCACCTGTCATGAGATTTATGGACTGTAAAAAAAATCATGCATGCGGAGGGTCTTTAAGCTCGTGGTTCATCCATTCGGCAGCAAACTGGTCGGGACTTCTATGTTGGATGGGACAAGTCGTGGAACATGTGGATCGACGTGAAGCAGGTTGCAGACCTCCGGGGGGTTTCACATCGCTTCGAGAAACGGCTGCAGCAAAGCCCATTCTGAGACTTTGGCACGAATTCCCCCATCAGGGAGGGCCTGCACATCGACCTGGGCGAGGTTTGACTCGGGCGGCAGGATTTAGTCTTGCCAAGCTGCAAACTTTGCCAGCAGCTTACCATTGACAACAGTGTCGCAGCATTCTTGAAGGTCTGCCCCTGCTCCAGCTTCTGGACCTTCGGACTGAACACATCAAGATATGAGGGGCTTTTGGTCAGACTTAGACGTAGCAGCGTTCGATTTCGCACCTTTTTGGCAACTGTCGTCCGCACTTCCCAGATCAGAATCCCCAATACCAGAGCGACGCGCGTTGCCTGTTGGGGCTCCTGTCCTGAACAGCCTCATGAGGCCTTTGCCTCTGCTGAGCTTCAGAAGCCAGTCGGCCTGGGAATGCCGCAGCCAGTGCAGACCTGGTGAAGACATGTGAAGACCGTGCCCCCCTGTGGCACCCGGAGAGGAGCAGGCGCATGCAAGCGCCTCGCCTCGTTCATTTTGCCGTTCTTTGCTTTGCATTCCTGAGCGCAAAACAAACAGTCAAGAGGGCAGGAGCCAAGAAGTTTCTGACGAGTGGCCCTTCTTCGGCACAGCCAGTCGCCCTCCACGAAGCCAGGCCGTATCTTGCCACAGCTGTGCTTGTTACATTTCACACCTCGGACAGACACCGATACGCACGATACACCTGCATTGAACAGTGGCTCAGCATCAGACGGCTTTCAAAATTGTAGTTGCCGCAATCGCAATACCAGTCACCTTGTATGCAGCGCATGCCAGCAGCGGCGAAAGCGCTTCAAACTGCAGGAGATCCGACTCAGAGCTTTCAGAGTCAAGGAGCCCTCCCGCTGTTTGCTGCCCACCCTCGGCTCTGCGGGCAGGCAATAGCACCCGTAACAAGCGTGTATCACAACACAGCGGCGCCCAAAGGACAAACCGAGTCGCATGGGGGCACCACCAGCCATGCCTTCGGCTTAGTGTGACTCAAAAACGAGGCGTCGATAAGCAACCCGAGGCTTGTGCCGGCGAGGATATCCACGGCTTGGACAAGGGCGGAAACGATTGGGTCTTCGGACCTGCTGACGCATCAGACATCACATCATCACACACCGCCCTTCAAGGCTTTGTGCACCTAATGCTACATCTTTGTTGGACTCTTCAGGGAACCCTAAGTTTGCTGGAACTAGGTCAGAGAAACGCCCACATCGATCATATAGATCGCGGACCCTTCAGTGCAATGTTGCTCCGCGACGACTAAAGTGACCAACGGTCTTCTGGACCTTGCAATGACCTTGGGCCTTGGGCCTTCTGACGCATCGCACAGCTCCGAGGTCTGCGCTGGCCGGCCGTCTGGCCGTCCCACTGGCCGTCCCACCAGCCATTCTGCCCACCCTTCCCACCGACAGCTCCGCTATCGGAGCCGCCTTTGCCATACCTCAGACATGAACAGTCAACTCAAGCACCCGCATCAGCCAAGACAGCTGAGCTTCGGAGATGGCCGTATTCTCCTGAAGTGCCAGAGTGTCCCATGCAAGTGGGCCATACACAGCCCTAGCTGCGCTTTGCAACTTTCCTCGCTGCTTGTCTGAGCCAAGGACGGTCCCCCTTTGGCTGTGGACGAGGCCTCCATCTTTTCCGTCAGATTTGCATTGGCTTTGGCAGAGTTGCATCGCTGGCACCTTGGGCAATGAACCAGCTCCACTCCACACATGGTTGAAGAAAACGAAATGTTCTGCCTGAGTCTTTTTTTCATACCTTGATACCTTGTCCAGAAATCGAAAAACACATGAAGCTTACAGGTGATATGCGCTTTCCACCAAAAAAGCTGATGGTGTAGAGGCACGACAGGCACAAGTTTAAAGCCTGATGCGTGCATACTCCTGCAAAGTGTTGTTGACACTGTGGCATAATGTTCGCGGGTCGGCTTTGCCAAGTCTGGGTGGTGCTGACGCTTCGTACAGTCAAGCGGCGCATCTCTGGAAGCATCGTTCTCCTGAGTCTTCCATTTTGATATATTTTGATGGCATTTTCACCGCCGGTAACGGTCAGTGCTGCCGAGCGTCTGAGCGGCAATTGCTGCACATCCAGTCTCCAGCTTTCTTGCCGGGTCTGAGCTTGCCGCAGCTGTTGCAGTAGATGCGGCTCCTTATATGTGTGCTTTCGTCATGCACTCCGCGTCGGAGCGAGGTTCGAACCTGTCGGCCCTACACGCCATGCCAAGAATCGCGAAGTTGTGGTTGCCACACTCGCACATCCTTACATGACAGCTTTAGGGCAGTGTTCGCGGGCTTTACGACGACATGCGCATCGTTTCTCGCTGGTCTAGCTGCTAGCTTCCAAAAAAAATCTTACTTTCGAGGAGTGTGCAAAAGGCTATCAGCGCAAACTTTCCCTGAGAGCAGCGCTGATCAAAGTGACATGAAGCCTTTGAAATTGTCCCTTGGCCCTCCGATGATATGCTTCCATATATGGTGGCAGCATGTGCTACATACCCTGATGCGAATGCGTTTGATCATGCTGTTGTTTGAGTGTCGGTTTTGCGCGTGCTTCATCTTCCATGTGCGGCGGCTTCTAGTGTGCAAGAGAGAGTGTGTGTGTGTGTGCACATGTATCTTTATGTGTGTATGTACGTATATATATATATATATACATATGTATACATATACATTACATATATACTTGACCGCACAACTTCCTGCACGAGGACTACTCGATGTCCTTGTCTAATACCTATGGTCTGGCTTGATTTGAGTTTGGCGTGGCTTTGCGTGGATTTAGCTTGGCTGCAGGCTGCGGTTTGGGTGTGGATCTATATGCGTGTAAGCCCTACATGGCCGAGCAAAGGGACTGTGTGCTCGTCTGCGCACGTGTAGATGACGGACTTCTGGCATTCATTCCGGCAGCCAGCAAAGCCAAACATGGCTGCCCCCAGGGCCCAGTTGCTTCAAGGTTTCTCATCACAGACTCTTCAACTCCTTGCCCTTCTGCTCTACCGTCGCGTCTTTCTCCCTTGTTTTTCTCTTTCCCATTCCTTGCTTTCGCTCAGGCACCAAAACGAAGAAGGCAGAGAAAGCCAACAATGACTGAGAACCCGCAAGGCCAGCAAGCCAGAGTTCTAGGACGACAGGTACAAAGGATGTCTGGAATCTGGAAGAAGCAGCAGCAGCAACCACAGCAGCAGCAGCAACAACAACAACGACAACAACGACAACGTCAACGTAACGTCAACGACAACATACGCCTTTCAGTTCTGTTTGCTTCCGTGACGGGTCGTGGTAAGCGGGGTCCAAATTAGGTCAGGTAATTAGGCTGAGGATCCAGTCGCCTGCCCTCATCACCTTTGAAGCAGGCGTGGGTGCGATCTCAGCCCCTGCTTCAACCACCGGCTTCCCGAGATCCGTCTCCGTGTGCGCGAATGCACAAGCCTGGTCATCTAGAGTGTAGAAAACGTCAGCTGTCGGATGATAGTTGCATGACGAACTGCGAACTCTCCATGATGTCCCCCTTTTGAAGTTTGTGCCCGGCCTCTCCCTTGCTGCAGGTGCCAAAAGGGAAGAATCTGCCTGAGTCTGAGCGAGTACGCTCACCTCAACGGTAGACAGACCGTTGTAGACCTGTCACAGTCTACCGTCTGGAGTCTGGGTTTCAAGCACATCTGCGTCTTCACCTTCTGCCCTGACGGGTACAGCCTAAGAACTGCAGCAACAGCTCTCCCTGTGAGGTCGCTGCAGATATCGCCGTGTCAACCCATTCCTCTGCCAAGGGGCGAGAATTTCATCGCGTCAGTTGCAGCAACCGGTGCAGCGAAGGGCAACGCCCCAGGCAGCGTGGCCAGTGCAACAGGGTTTGACACGGCCGCTACTGCATCTGTAGCGGCTGGAACAGCTCCGACCATCGGAAAGCTTGCTTGGAGGGCTTGCAGCGCCTGCAACTGTTTTCAGAACTAGGACATCTACCAAAATTACGGGACTCACCCCGGCTTGGTCTGCTCTTCTAGGATTGCCACTCCCCCCACGCAGCGTTCTAGAATCGCAGCGAGAACCTGGCCTGGAGTTGTTGCAGCTGCAGGGCCTGCAGGAACAACTCCGGCGAAGCCATGGCCTCCCGGTGCTGTGAAGCCAAAGGAACCTACAGCTTAGAATCTGAAAATCGTTGAGACTGCAGATTGCATGTTGGGAATCGGCACGTGTGTGTGTGTGTGTCAAGATTTTGCTTGGGGAGGCTGCACATTCATCCGCAACCTCCAACCATGTCGATCAAGACTTCTGGATAGACCCAAGCTCTTTGTTCGGTAACCAGGGGTCCGCGGCCAAACAGGACCCAGTGCTCAACCGATGCTTAGCTGATCCTTTGCACAGGGGCAGCTAAGTTGATCTTGTCACAGGTACTTTGCGGGTGCGTGACTAGGCCACTAGGCCCCCAAGCTATCCCCGCTGGGATCCATGAGCGAGCATGCGGGTATGTTTGCACGGTGTCTGGTCTTTGCTGGCCAGGACAGACACTCACAGAGTCCGGCCCCTGCAATCTGAAAGTGTTGGGAACTAACAGAGTGCGAAGCACACACAAAACCGTGATGGCGGAGTTTCAGTGCTTACTTACACCACGACAAAGGAAGCTCCAGAGCCCGCCACAAAAAACATTTTGCGTTCTGATCCTGAAATTCTGGGCTTGGCCACAGGCAGCAGGCTTAGCGCGCGGAGCGCGAAATCCATAAAATATGCGGCTAGCTGACCTTGGCACAGGGGCTCTTATTTTGTGGGTGTGTGTGACTGGGCTTAGCGAGCATACAAGTACGTCTGCATGCGTCTGCACCTCCGCGGTCTCTGGTGTTTGTGGGCCAGACACACACAGACATATATATATATATATGGGTAATGTTATATCCCCCCCCCTGCATTTCCTGGCTTCGCACAACAAGTCACGCATTCACCAGTTCACCATTTCACCATTCCTTTCCCCCATATGGTCAGGCCAGTTCACCATTTC